GGGGGGGGGGGGGGGGGGGGGTAGGAATATATGTAAAATGAGGAATTTACCAAAATTAAAAATAAATGCGGTGGCAGGTTTTTCGAGTGATCGAACCTTTGCACTTGGGACACTTCTTCTGAGTGACGAGAGTGGCAAGCAGGCAGTCCTCACAAAATATATGACCACATTTTGTTGACATAGGCTTACGAGATGCTCTTAGATCTTCAAAACAGACTGGACAGGTAAGAACTGTTGGAGAACCATCCACTGAATCATTAATCTGGGGTATTAGTTTATTGTGGTCATCATCAGGAATTGTGCTATCTAAGTCGATGACTGAACCTTCTTCTGGACCAGCTGCTGTAGATGTTGTAGCTGGGGATCTTCTCTTTGGTCTGCCAATACGCCGTGATGCTGACGTTCCTCTGAGATTAAAAAATGATTTTGACAATATTGACATGCGAGAAATAGTACCAAGCTCATCTTGAGAATGTTGTCTACATGCTACTTATCTTACATTAATCTTTGTCCATAAAATGAACTAAAAATTCGATAACTTCAAATTTGGGAAAAAGGGAGTGTTGTCTTACACAGATATTAAAGAGATTTTGCAACATGTTTTTCATTCTCTGGACAGCAATTTCAGAATTCTTTGTTAATTTAGATTAATTCTTGCGAAAAGAGGAATCTCAGTAGTACAGCCCCTCTTTATTCCATTTAGATTCATGTTCCACACCACTCAAATCGAGGTTTCTGCTTCAACAGAATTTAATATGTGCTTCCTCCATATAGATAATAAATAAACTAATGATTCTACAAATTGACGATTAAGGTGTCCCGTCAAGATTTCTCCTGGGAGGAGGGGGGGTGGAGTTCCATTGTTGACATACCCTGAATCCCTCTCTGAAGCCGACAATTTTCAATTATTATGAAAACGTATATTAATGCACGCCAGCCTGTAAACTGACACTTCACATATGCTCCGCGTATAAATTGCCAGTTTACAGACGTGCTATAAAATTCCTTACATAACTCATGGTAAATGACGTTTTTTTACCAGTATGATTACAACCATCGCCTGTGGCGATTAAATTTGTAATACTAATTTAAATTTGTATAGACGGGTATATATATTTTAGAAGAAATAGATAAGAGATATCAAGAATATTTTGATATATTGGACAATATAGTTTTTTACAAAAAATTGAATATCTCTAAAACTACTGATTCGATTTTGCCCATCTGAAATCCCAACCTGTAATATACTAAGAGCTAGAATTCTACCAAATTTCAACTTACTATCTCAATTTTTTTCGATCGTTATCGCGCAACCATCGATTTTATCACAAAAATGAAAAATGTCAATTACAGGACGACTCGCCCTAGTTTGCTAGGCATATTATGGCGTGATTCGATAGATATTATCATAAGAAATATTTTGACGCCAAAAAAGTTCACTTGATACAGTAGTTTTTGAGATATTGAGGAATTTTTTTTTCAGAATCGCTGTATCTCAACAATTCAGATGTGCTCCCAAATATTACCAATTATAAGCCGAAATTTCAGAGTTTTATCTATCACTTTAGTCCTTTTTTTGTGAAAATTTAGAAAAGAATTCCCAGAATTTTGTACGCACGTACAGACGTAGAGGCAGATATTCTCTAAAAACATCATATCTCGACGTTTCATGACATTCTAAGTCATTTCCAAGCAAAATTAGAGAATCGAAAAATCGACCGATTACAAAGCTTCCATTCGGAAGCATATTGCTAATTTGTTAGCAACATAAACTATACCCATATACAGAAAATGCGATTATCCGCTTGTTTCAATCACTTCAATTTCATGTTGAAGATCGAAAAATCAAACTTCTTCTCGAATCGAATCATTTTTTTCGGAAAAGCCAGAAAATTTCAGATGGAAATCATATCTCAGAAATATTCTCTCATATGCGGCAGAGTTGGAAAGAAAATAAGAAACAAAAATAACCAATTCGAAAATTGATTTCTCATGATCCGATTGTGTATTTACAGTGTTTATTCGGTACATAGTGATTTCCATCAACACAGGCTCCTTCTTTATTTGTTATTAACATCCTAATATGCAGAAACCATGAGAAATCAATTTTCGACTTATTCATTTCTTCATTTCGTTTTTCTTTCGGCTCTCTGGGATACGACTGAACTCAAAAATAGAATTTTAGTCGGAAATTTTTTGAATTTTTCGACAAAATTATCAGATTGAAAAAAAAACGGCGAGCAAGTCTAAATTCATGTTTGAATTTTCATTTTTCGATTTTCACCATAAAGTTAAGGTGATGGAGAAACTCACCACCATTTCTCAAATATTCAGAAAATTTTTCATCTAAAACAATGTTTTTAATTTTTTTTTGTACCTTTGACGTCAAATTAAATCGAAGAATTTCTAACCGAAATTGTTCAATCTCGTGGAGTCAGTCAAGAAATTTTCTTTCGTATGCATAAGTATCCTGGCGAAAGAAAAAATTTGTCGAAAATTTTGAGGCCGGATTTGCGTACGATATTTGACGGAATGGCCCTTATACACAAAAGTCTTTGAACCGAACGTATACATACGTTCAGCCTATCGCCGACTCGAAAATCTAGTCCTGGGACCACAATTCCACAAGGGTAAAAGGAAGCTTCAACCGGAATTACATCTAACCAAGCGATCTGATACTGGGCCCTATAAATACACATTTCGTTATTGCCCTGTTCAGTTTTACAGTATAATGTAATCAATGTAAATTAATGATTTTTGCTTTATTTATTGATGACGTCGAACTTATTTTTTCAATTGGTCATCTGTGATTAACTCCTCCGGGATGTTGAGAAATGAAACATGAATTTTTAATTACCTAGCTGGCGATGGATCTGCGGAGTCAATAACAATAGTGTCCAACAGTCGAATACTGACTCCGACCCGTGAAACATGTGAATTCCTGTCAGTCGCTTCATCACAATTTTGCTCAGCTACCTGATTACCTCGCCCTCGAGTTTGTCTGGTTGGTTGCATTGGAGAATCAGCTGTCAGATCAATGTAATGAACTGGCTGTGGCGACATTGACTCAGTACGATTGCGACGTCGCCTCTTGGGTACAGTCGACATAATTGTAGACTTATAAATCTTATATCCAAATTTTTCAAGCCTAAATAAATACCAGTTCATATTATGCATTATTAATACTACTGTCTGAAATTACCCAATGGAGTGGGCCAACTCGCACAATATTTTTGATCAGACTTACGAATAACGGTTAACCAAACGTGTCGTGTATTAGTCCGATTAGTTTCGTCAGTTGCTCCAAAAGACCAAGAACAATAGACGCAACCTTCTTTTCACGTTCCCTTGGAAAGTTCTGGAATGTTAACGTTGTATCCAAAAATATTAAAATTGAAAAAATATAAGTTTTTTGTTTTACATTGAGATTTTCGCAAGATAAATCGTGTTGTTTGCGTCGATTTTCGGATTGAACTAGAGGTGTCTCCAAAGAAGATAAACTAAAGGCCTATAGGGCATCTCTCTATGTGTAGGTCATTGCTTTGAATGTTTGCGTTTGTGTACAGTGGTCCAAAGTTCCCGCAGTACTTGAAGTTGGCTTTAGTTGGAGTTGGAGTTGCACGGAGTATAGGAGCCGAAATGATTGAGCGGTTCGCACCTAGGTGGTTTTAGTTCATGCTCCAGTGGTTGGGTATAGTGGGGGGAAAATTTGACGGATTTTCAATGCCGGCGCGGCGACTCAAATGTCAACACTAACACCACTATACCCAATCACTGAAGCACGAGCTAAAATCATCGAGATACGAACCGCTCTTTTATTTCGGGTCCATACGGCGTCCGGAACCAACTTCAAGTGTTGCACGAACTTATACGATTGTACATCAGCGGAATGAAACAACACCAAGGCAGAAAGATGGAAAAAAATTAATAAGGAAAAAAAATAAACTCATAAAGGCCTTCTGCTTGCGAGTAGGAACGCTTCAGTCGATGGTGAAAATTGCTCTTTTATTATTTTCATGAAGACATCAGTCTCCTCAAGTTCCCTGTTAAACGAATAAATGACGTTATGAATGGATCGGAAGAGACGTGCAAATTGTGGAATTGGGTTGTAAATTGAGTCCACTGATCGATTAACAACTTCCAGCTGTAACAATGCAAAGAAAATAGTTCGTGTCATTGACTCGATCCAAGTGTCAGAATGTAATTGAGGAAAAAGATTGAATAACAAGTAAAAAAAAGATCAAGAGAATTTAAAATTTGCATCGCATTCGTTTTCATCCTGTTGGTCTAGTGCTGAGTTCAATCTCATTCATGTGCATACGAGGCTATGAGAAAAAAATATATCCAACAGAAACTGAAAACGAGACGTGGATGGTGTCAGGAATCACTCTGGGTGAATATGAGATCTTCTAACCCATCTTTCATTTTTTTCCCTTGATATTTTGTTCATATTATCTTCCATGAACATCATTTAACACAGTGAAAAGAAATTTGCTGGTCAAAGTGAAGCTCACTCTAAATCTATTATATCTCCCTTATCATTTTAGGATTTCATGGGCGAGTTGTATCATCAGCTGAGGAAGAGATTTTTCTTTTCTGTTCATGCCCCCAACATGATTTTATCTATTCCTCTATTCTAGTTGAATATAACGTCGATGGAGAAAAATCATGAGAAACTAATGAAAATGAGTTATCAACAAGTCAGTGACTAGTGATTTGTATTATAAGATCCATTTTAAGGTTTTTTTTTAAATGTTTTCTTATGACTACAAAGTGATGCCTGTTCATCAGATTAATGTTAATCCGCCTGATTGGCAGCCACCACACTCACTTAGTCCTTCCAATAATACAAGTCCAACTGGAGGTGAAACTCTGCCAGACTGGTCGCCAAGGGTGAGATAATAATTCATTTAACCCCGTCATTCCTATTAAGCTTAAAGTATTCATGTTATTAGTTGGATGATTCAGTCAAGAAGAGTGTCAGAGAAAACCACTATCGTAAGTTATAAAGAATGATGGTCCCAATATACTACGTAAACGAATATCATTCTCAAAATAAATTTCAGCGTGATCCACATTAGCTCAAGCCAAGCATTGCAAAAATAACTCCACGTGGATCTGTAAGATAAAAGTTGTGACGGATGTATTTCAAGGATGCACGAATAAATTATTTCTATCAATCATTTTTTAAATGAATAATTTTTATCCCCGATGACAACCCACAAGGGTATATGTGCTTGCCAAAACCCGACCGCACATTCACATGTACTTAAATACATTTTTTTACGAAAACCAAATAAAAATAGTTGTATCTATAATTGAGAGAAAACTGAAACTCTGAGGGTTTTCGATACACTATCCTCGTGGAAATCAGGTCGGCCGATTCTGCCAAATTTTGATAGAAAATAGCGACTCCTGTTAAACTTTGTCAAATTTTGGCCTAGAAATATTCTCAGAAGATGTACATACTGTGTCAGAATTTGTCAATATGGATTCGAATTCGACATTTCTGGTCAGAAATTGATTATATATGTCGTGAACTTTGAACAGGTGTTCGGCATTATGTCAGAATTTGTCCGAAAAATCTGTCATAATTCGACGAATTTTCACAGAATTTTCCATAATTAGTCATAGTATGTTGACTCTCCTGGGAGTTGCTTCTCCCCGTGTAACATATAATGACAGCTTTTGCCATCATTTGTCAAAATATTCGGTTTTCTCGCAGAATGTGACAAATCCCGATCTATTATTTAAAAATAAGTAAAGTAAAATTCTCTCTTTTGTCATTTAATATCCTATTTTGTAGAAATCTGTCATAGTTTATCCACTTGCAACATTTAAAAGATATAAAAAAGTGGACAATTGAAAAGTTGATAATTGTTTTCTGAGACTTTTTGCCGAGTTGTAATTTATCGAATTATAACTTTGTGCTGAGCACTGTGATGATGTGATTCATACAATGACCTATAGATTGCTTTTTTTGTTCAATTTTTATCTCGAAATTTCAACTCGATGCCCTATCACTCAGACATCTCCGAAAATTATGAATTTGGATTGAAAAAAAAGTAAACCAAAATCTGAACATTTTGAAAGAGCGTTTTTAATCGATATTGAGGAATGAGTTCAATAGAAGAGATAGGAATAATGTATAATTACCGTGGCAAATGGCAGCTTGTCAGTCGCCACCATGGCGGGAGGAAAGATGAAATTATAAATCCTTTGACACAGCACAACCAGACGATTGTATGAAAAAAGCCTCTTTGAAAAATTTTGTAATATTTTTAAGAATTGTTTAATCACACTTTTACGGTGAACTACTAATCAATTACACCAATCTCCTCCATTGAAAGATTGCAATGCTTCCATTCGGAAGCAAAACGATATTTTTCCAAAAACCAATTTTTGAACGATCACTCCAAAAATTGTCAGCAGAATGGGATTAGTCGTGGCTCAAAGAATTGATAACAATACCATCTTGATTCTATCAGAATATGATGGGGGTTGTACAATTCGTTGTTGAGCAACAGCATATTGTTTATGAAATTTGAAAGAGAAAATAGGTTTTTTCATGATTACTGAAAGAATCATCAGTAATAGCAATTAAATCAGCGCTTGAAAAGTATATTTCAATACCTTCTTAATCAAGTTGAACAATGGTGAGAACAGCACCATTGCTTATTAAGTTATGCAATACCGTTATGAGCTTTTTTATGTAAAAAATCTCTATCTGTATTAAACTCAGGGACTAGTCTACTATGTTGAATGCTTATTCATGTTGACTCATGGTACCGTCTAACTTCTGACAGGACCTGGATTAAACTGTGGCAAAATCATTAATAAACCTTGACTAAATCCTGACTATACTCTGATTAAACCTTGAGATTGAGTCTTGAGAGGGTGTGAATGTAGAGTTATTTGATAAACCGAAATAATACGCATAATTTTGATGACATTTTAATTGATGATAGTACTATCACATGAAAAAATAGAAGAATTGTGAAATAAGAATTTTAAAAAAGGGATCCCATTCGAAAGTAAATTGCTAATTTATTAGCAACAATCGCTATACTCATTTATAAAAAAAATTCCACTGTCCACGTTTTTTTACTATTTAGGAATAAATTTTTCATTGGGACTTTAAAGTTCTTATTTTTTTCTTATCTATTATTTGCATCATAATTGCGACAGAACATTGATTCGTTGATTTCGTTGCTGATTGAAGAGTTCATGTTACTTTCTCCTCATTGTTTTCAGTGATCAATCCGAAATGTGAATATTGTTTTGTCAATATCACTTATGAATAGTTTGTAATGTCAAGTGTACAGGAAAAATTGTGGTTGAATTTTGGTATATATGAGTAAGTCAATTGATAATTTATTAACCAATGAAGTAACTGATAATTGTTTTAATTCCTCAGGAACCTGCATATGCAACAGTTGTCACTGTTATACCCAACCACTGTCATTCTTCCGTCAGTACTTTGTCATCTAGCAATCATGACATTTGCCGGTGAGTGAATAGAATTTATAGATGAATCGAAAATATTCATTAGTAAAGAATGATGGTAAACAAACATACAGTTGAGCAAATCCGCCAATTCTGTGTATGAAAAATTTCCGAAAAATTTTCAATTTTTTATCTACTGTTTATCGAAAAGTACTGCTAAAAACAAGAAAAATGGGCGCAAGCGGAGTTATCTAACTCAGTTATTGGCGGTGATGAAAGATTATTTGCGGGATTGAAGATGTTTTCTTTTTCTTCTAAAAACATTCTCTTTCAATTCTAATTTTAAGCCACTGAGAACAACAAAATTCAAGGCTTTGTCGAAGAAGAAACCAAAAATTTTTTCATTTTTGATACTTCGAAGAATTTAGGAGTGGAAGGCAAAAGAAGCTGTGGGAATCCCGAGAGGATTGGATTAGGTAAATTAGTGAAATAATACACACGTGACACTTACTAAATACTCTTTTATTTCAATCAAATTCCGGGAATTTAAAATCAAAGGCATTCATTCCGATACAGAAGGTGTCAGATAAATGCTGAGAATGACTGTCGTCAAGCTACTAGCGCAGAGACAATTGTCTCCCGAGTATTTATTTCGTCGAGCGGCCATGACGTCTCGGCCGTTGCCTTATATCGGCATATCGGAGTGGGAGCCATATTTTTCGATAAACAATGATAAATCTAAAAATTTGAAAACAATTTTTCATAAACAATTGATGTTTTTCTATAACAGGATATGCCACTGTGAGGGAGAAATTGGTGCTCCCCTGCTGGCGCCGTGCTACTGCAGTGGAAGCCTGCGTTATGTACATCAGGCCTGTCTCCAGCAGTGGATAAAGGCATCGGACACACGGGCTTGTGAATTATGTAAATTCACATTCATAATGCATGCTAAGACAAAACCATTTTCCGAGGTTGGTCTTTTTAATGCTTTTTCATAATGCAGAATTTTTGTTCTTGTTACATTGTCTAGTCGTTTATTACAAATTGTGTTTTCTCAAAATTTCTGTGTTTATAGTGGGAAAAACTCGAAATGTCAGCACCTGAAATCCGCAAATTGTGGTGCGCCGTTGCATTCCATGCTGTTGCTGCATTGTGTGTTGCCTGGTCACTCTATGTTTTAGTTGAGAGATCTGTTGAAGAGGCTCGAAAAGGATTTGTCGACTGGCCGTTTTGGACAAAATTGATTGTAGTCGTAATAGGCTCTACTGGTGGTCTTGTATTCATGTATATTCAATGCAAAGCGTACATTGAACTCTGCAGGAGATGGCGTGCTTTCAACAGGTAATTGTTAAATTCATTATGGAGTAGATTTGAGGGACAGTTCTACGAAGCTCTAGTAGAACTGGTTTGTTCAACTTCCTTTAGCGTCCCGCATCGAAGAATTTTGTCTTAGGTCAAATCACTATCTTGAACTAAATGACATGAACAAAGAAAAAGTAAAAACAAACAACCCAACGCATTTGACCCCAACCCATTGAATTTCTACAGAAAATCCCTGAATAGAAAAATTCCCGATAGTGTAAAAAAGTATTAAACACAATGTTCGAGGTTAAACAAAACGTATGTGTTGTGACGTATTTCGTCCCTCTGCGGAAGAAGGAACGAGACTACGAGTTCAATTCCCCCTCAGCCCAAAGTCAAATTTTGGGCACGGAGTGGATTTTTATTTTTTGCACCCAAGTTTGTTGATTACCATGTTTATATTGACACCATGGGGGTGTCAATTTTCATTCCACTCATTATTCAACTCCGAAATAAATATACTCCGTGCATTCATACCGAAAGACGGTGTAGACTTGTTATCACTCCTTTTGGTGTGAACTAAAAGTCGAAATTCACTCAGAATTTTTGACTGTGCAAGTACAGTGCTTTTTGTGCCCGAAATGTCCTTACGGCCGGCGTTAAGTCTTGTACAACCCACATACAATTGCCTCAGGCACACATCACAACTGCGGTACAAGCTTACCAACTTAAATCGTACAACTGTACCTGATGTCAAGCCCACCCATGAATTTTCATCAAACTTATAACCAAGTAAGGGATTTTGCCCCTCTCGACCCTTATAACCTTGATGACCACCTTAGATCCTTATCGCCCTTATGAGCCTAAATTGGGTTATGGTTCGGTAGGGATGTTACGAATAACAAATTCATGCAGCGTCTGGTCGCTAGGTGCAGTTGTACAAATTTAAGTTAGTAAGCCTGTACCGCCGTAATGATCTGTGTGGCAGTTGTACCGGTAGACTTGTATTTGACAGAGTTATTCATCAATAGGTAACCTAGCCACGGGCTCGAACCGCCCGTTCGCTCGTATAGTATATGAACTCCATTAAATCATCATCATCTGTAACAGCAATTAAGTTAGGGCTTGAAAAATTTGGTTCAGTGCTTTCTGAATTAAGTAGAAAGATTACATGGACGCAACCCGGCCATAGCCATCAATGACCCCGGCCATGACCTGGCCATTGCCCGGTCATGGGGGGCCGTGGTCCCCCATGACCCGACCATGGAATTCTGGATGAACGCTGATTAAACCTTGATTAAAACATGACTGATATGCAAATTCGAGTCGCAAGAGGGGTGGCGAGGGTCTGGATACAGAATTCTACGAAATAATGCGCAAAAATTTTCATGATATTTCCATTTTCTACGGTATAATAACATGAAAAAAGAGAAAAAGTAAATAGTAAAAGTATATAGTAATGGTAAAACGTGAATAGTAAAATTATAATTCCAAAAAAGCGAATTCATTAGAAAACAAATTGCTAACTTACCAACACCATGATTGACTCATTTACAAAAAAAAATGCAATTATTCACTTGTTTTTTCATTGTTGCAGGGTCATATTCATACAGAATGCACCTGAGAAAGTGGTGCTTCCACCATCTCCAACAGACTCTCTTCGTGACGTGACATTACCATTGAAAGATCCCACTGCCTCAATACCTGAGCTCAATCGCACTCTATTACCGAGATCCTTAGATCCATCTTGTGCATCAGAGTCAGGTAAGCCAGAATCTACAACCCCAGCGCCGAAGCACGACGCACAGCTGAAGCTGTACGTTTTCGATAAATTATCGTCATCGGAGGATAACCTGTAATAATTCTGTATTTATCAGTTGGCTTTCATTAATTATCGTGTCATGGAGAAGACAAATACATGCAAGTCATAATTTAAAAAAGAAACAGAACTGATATTTCACTAACGCGTGAACGATGCTAAAATAAAACGAGGTGCGTTGAAGGAAACGCGCAAACAAGAAATTTGAAAAGAATAATTTGCTTCCAAAGATGTAACTGAAGGGTTGTGTCTAGCACTCTCCTTCGAAGCACTTTTACTCGACCCTTAGTACTTCAGTGATTATAAAATTGACAAAGACAAAAAATAAGATGCAGAGGGGCAATAAGTGGAATGTGAGTACGTTGGTTTATATATACGAATCACCTTTCTTATTCTCCCTCATCAGACAATTATGTACATAATTATTGTATCTGTGATGTTATTGAATAAACTTTACCACATTAAAACTATCCCTTGCTTCCCAATGTTTGTATTGAATTATAAATAAGTTGCAAAATGGAGTCCTCGAGTGTAATGCACGAATTGTAATGACTTATATTCTAACAGATTCTTAAATGAATGAATATTTTTGTGTAAAATTAAATTAAATTATGAGTTAGCTGATAGGGCGGAAATCACTTATATTAATGCTGGACCAACAAAACTATCGAATATCTGTAAGTACGCAGAGAATGTGACCCAGTCGCATCACTCATTTAATTAGTACACTCAGCTTTTTGTTAATTTTATTTTTTAGAAAATTGGAGTCTGGGAAAATTTTCGAGTTCTTAGGTCTTTTTTTTGTGTATTCATCGCGACTGTACTAAACGACGTATTCATCGCGACTGTACTAAACGACGAGTTCATTATCATTTCTTTTATGTATTTGCGATCCTACGGCTTACAATACTACTTTTTCGGGTTGAGAGAATTTAACCATAGTGAATTGATTAATTTTCATGACTTAAGCCCGAAATAATACCGAGCTGCGCGATTTTTTTATATTTTTTCTTTGTCTGAATTTTCGTGGAAATGTATAGGAGCAAACCCGGCTGTGTAGCGCACTTGGTAGCAGCATGAGATTCACAACGTCAAGCTCGCAGGTTCGAGCCCCGGCCGGGCCAAAATTCCACACCAATTTTTCATCACAATTTTCCACATAATATTCAACTGAAAATTCAACACAATTTTCAAACCGAATATTCCACGGAATTTTCAACTGAAAAATCCACTCCACATTCAACATTCCCTGGCTGGAGGCCCTCAGGCGATGGCCGCGTTGGCAAGTTAACCCTTACAACGAAAAACCGGTGAAATTTGAAATTTTTTTGTATAGGAGCAGTTGTGATACGGCCGCTCAATTTGTAGATTATTGGGGAAGATTAGTTTTGGGTTCGGTGGAAGGTCATGCAATCAATCACGACCGTTGCTCTCTCAATAAAATCAACTCAAAAAACAAGTCGCATTTTTCAATAAAATTTCAATGGAAATCCTATAGAAACCTCATAGAATTCCAACAGAATTTTCTAGCGAATTCGCTAGTAGGTTTTCTATTGAATTTTTTCATGCGTGCCTCTACTTCGGAAACGGATAGCAGTCTTCTTCTTCTTCTTCTTTCTTATGGCTCCAGCTGCATTGGCTATTCGGCCGTTATCCCTCTACGGGACGTTTCAGGATTTAGGAATTAGATTTGTTGGTAGGGTAGATATATCTGCGTTACCATGGGCCGTCTTACTCTTTTTAACTGTACCCCATTCGGGCTAGGACTGCAAGGGAAACCATGGAAAACCTCAGTCGAACAGCCGGCCGATTGTGCAGAGCCCTAATGTGTCCTTCTGTCACACTGACTAGAGGGGCACATTAGGCCATCACACCGTGCCTACCTTCCGAAATTTTTGGGCGAGGGTGTTCCTAAGCGGTCACCCATCCAAGTACTAACCACGCTATACGCAGCTGCACTCGGATGTCCGCCGGAGCAACATCTAACTCACCCAACCATTACGGTCGGTTTACCACAGATAGCAGTCGATGTGTCTGATTGTTGTTGAAAAATTCGACTGTTAATTATAAGACGCTATAATTCACGTTCACTCCGTTTTAACCGAAATTAGTAAACTTGTCAGTGGTTTACTTTTTAGTTGACGGTACCTTGGGTGAAAGACGTTCATCAAGAGGGTCAATACAGTCATGCCATTAGTCATCAAATTTCTATTGGAAATTTTATTAGTTTTTTGACAATTCTCTCGAAAAAAATGTGCAGTTTTTCAAATGAGAAATATTGTATTTACAGCTTTATCAGATATCATCGTGTTATCTTATAGATTACCTGTTTCTATTAGGGATCTTTATTATTTTTTGTGACAATCCTAGTTCAGGAATTCCGAAGTTTTAGGCTCTTAAAATGCGAACCTTGAGGTTCTCAAATTGATATCATTCTCATTATTGAATTGATTGATGATTTTGCTTATTCTACAATTAATCTACTCATGTTTATGAATATTTTGTTCCTCAAAGTATGTTATCTGGTGTTTTCTTTTAATTCATGTTGGAATAATTTTCAATTCTTGCAGAATTTATCCCCTTTCAAATGATTTTAATTCAAGAATTTTTCCCATTCGCAAGAAGTAGAATTTTGATAGTGAAATTTAAGGATCTCTCTTCTTAAATTAAGTAACCAGTTTGTTATGCTCAATACCATGCCGTCAAGAACCAGAAGTTAATTGCTTCTGGAATCGAGAACCTTTTTTTGGTTTGTGAATCAAATGGTAAATATTCACGTGACCACATAGGTACTATCACACAATTTCTTCTCTATAATCAGCATTTTGACCTGACGGATTTCGGGACCTCATGTCACATTGGTATACCGAATCATGGGTTTGTTTTTGTAGTCAGGAATATTGTTTACATAAATGGTCTTTTGATAAATTTCTCTAGATTCCTTCCCTGAGGCGATATGTACTAATTAATCCGTAGATCGGTGAGTTTTCAATTGACCTCCTGCGCTGTTTTCACCACTTCACTACTGATTTCATTGGGTAGTCGATGAGATTCACGTCAGAGAGCGGTGTTCTGGGTGACGGTGGTTGGGGTGAGTGGGGACCAGCCACCCTGAGTATCTGCGGATGCAGAATTTCTCTGGTGACTCGATAGACGATGATCAATAACAGTGTTCACATATCTTCGCTCATCTTCTCCCGTTTCGTTTTCTTGATTCTGGTTTTGCTCTTGATACCCAATGGAGTGATGATTTTTTGAGGGATCATAGTCTTCAGATGGTGAGGATGACCCCTGGGATTGTAATTGCAACAAATGACTTTGATGTTCCCCTTGATCTGTAGTTTGTTGATAACTCTGAGGATATTCGTGGCCTGAGGGGATGGGACTGTGATTAACTTCGGTCTCGGTTGATTGTAGCACGGAAAGTGTAGGAGTTCGTGAATACGAGGGTATCTGATGGTGCAGATGTAGGTTGAGATTCAAATATGACTGCTGCTGTTGAACTTGATCAGAGACTGACGGCGGATGTAACCAAGTGGAGGTTTCTACGATGTGTGGGTGTTCGTGAGGGGAGGTGTTGGAGGAAGGGGCTGAGGGAATATAAAAGGTGCAAGTCGTTGGGGTTGGGACAGAGGATCTGCCGAGGGAGTAGGAGGGAGCTGCGGGAGAAGAGGTGGGGGAGGGAAGGGGTGAGGACGGCCACTCTTGGGGTAGGGGGTTCATTGATAATGGCTCAGGACTCCTTGACCAACCGGTTGTGACGTAGGCTGAGTGGAGAAGTGGCACTGAACTGTAGGGATCTACATTTTCATCTGGAAAAGAAATTGAGCAAAATATTATATGTTAAATATGAAAACGCGGCGATGAATCCTTTATTCATAATGTAGAAATTTAGGAGGAAATGTGACTAGGAGAATTTTCTAGATACAGATTATTTTGCTCGTAAGCCCAAAAAATCCCACGATTTTTAGAATATCTTGGAATTGAGAAAGAATCTTTGACTTTGATTTTCTAAATTTAGAAAATTTTCAATTTCTAACAGAATTTTTGTTTCGTAAAAAGTGAGAAAAAAAATTTGTTTATGAAGTGGCAGAGTCGAATAGAAAATATTGCAAGTGAAAGAAAACAATATTAGAAGTTAAGAAAAAAAACTTCAAAGACAGAATTGTTTTCAGCTACAAGATTGAAAATCAAAATGAGGTAATGAGATTTGAAGATGTAAAAATATGGGTTTACCTTCTTGGTGGTATTTATGTCTGACGGGATATGGTGTGGTTCTACATGAACTTTTATGATTTCCGGAGGATATTGTGCATGTACTCGTGAGATCACTGGATGGATTTGACACCTGGGACGAAGCGACGGATATCGAGGAAGGGGCATAGTCATAGGCCATTGCTGGTTGAGGCAAAAACCACGCACTTGTATCTGGTTACGAGTGCAAAAAGAAAAATTCCAGAGAAACTGGTTTACGTAAGCGTACGTTGAATTGGTAACTTACATTGGGGGTATGTTTGTTGGTCCGACGGACGCTCTTTAGCGTCGAGAAATGCTTTTGCAAAAGGGTTGTATTTAATTTTCAGGCCTGTTACTTCTTCATTCTGGTACGCAGTCACTGCGATAAATTGAGTCTCGGGAAATCTGTATGTGAGTACCTGAATTTTAATGAAAGGTATAATGATTATAAAGAAGAATAACAATGGATGATAATGGATTTCGACGGAGGAGAAAAGACTCTATTTGCCTCAAAAACGGAATTTGTAGGCGTATGGATTCTCTGATTACTCTGTCTCTCACATTGTAGTATACGACCTCTGAAAAAAATTAACAAAGAAAACTAGCATTTTCTCTAAGGAATTTCACGTATGAGAAAATCCTATAAGATTTCTTATAGGAAATCCTATGAAGAATTCGAACATTTCTTATAGGATTTTTCAGGATGTTTTTTTTGCCTCAAATGAAAGAGCGGGTCGAGAAATGGCGTGGTAATGTCTCTAAGGATGATTTTTCAACCAGGGGAGACTCCTACAGCCGACTGGACAATGTTGGCACAACTCTGTTTTTCAACTCTGAAACCAGAGTTGTGCCAACTCTGGTAGGAGTCTCCCCTGGTTGGAAGATCACCCTTAAAATCATTTGCACTATATTTCGGCACCCACTCCTGCACTCGGATTCCATTATACAAATATGAATATCGTTAAGAAAACGTTTACATAAAATGTAAAAAACTATTCATTTAATCTTTTATTTGCGTTTAGTCAATTATTTATTTCATTTTTTATTTGCGTTAATCTATACTGATATTCGTATTCGAGAAAATTGTTTACTGGTCTACTATCTCCATATCACTTCTCGATTGATTCGATGTGTCTACTTTATTGTCTAGAATTAATTTGAGAAGTAAAAGTTGAGGGTCCACTATCTCCCATATATCCACGGTAGAAATGACCTTGAATCCACGGGAAAACGTCTCGTATATCCACGGTCAAAGTTACCGTGGAGCCTGTGAATAGACACTGTCTACACTTTTATTGTGGTAAAATAAGTTAAAATTTGATTAATTAGTTGATCGAGTGAAAATTTAAATGAATTGAAAAATGGATCCACATGACAATAATTAATTATTAATAATAACTAATTAATTTTTATTTTTATTGGTCATTATAATATCATAATTGTTATGATAATTATTATTATATTTTTATTTTTGCATCAATAAAAAGTAAGAAAAATTCAGTATTTTTATTTTATCAATGTCGATTCTGAGAAATGACACTCGGAGTAAGCGCGTGGTGGTGGAAGACGAATACGGTCGCATTCCCCGAATTCACTTCCCCAACAGCCCCTTGAGAGTGACTCCAACGGGAGTCTACTGTATCTCTGTAACTAATTATCCGATTTAGCCCAGGTTCAATACGAACCATTGTAATTATCAGAGGCACCTTCGTGCCAAATTTCAAGTTGATATTTCGATTTTTGCGTCTGCTACAGACCGAACAACGATTTCGAGGCCAAAAAAAGAAAAATCGAAACCAAAATTTTATATGAACGGGTATATACAATTTTGATTGATTAAGATACAGGATATCAAGACAAATATTTTAAAAAAAATATTGAAATCGGTTAGATATTTTCGAGATATTTGGGAAAAAGCGTAACAAAAAAACAAATCCCTATTTCTCAAAAATTAATGGACGGATTCAAACTGACAAACTTTCAAATTATTTGGGATGATTTTGCCCGTTTATTCGTCAATTTTAAGAAAAAGTGACCACCGACTGGACATGACCGCATACAGACATGGTCGCCAAACTTCGTATTTTTACGTTTCAGACCATTCTACATCATTTCCAATGAAAATTAGAGAATGTAAAAATCGGACGATTACAAAGCTTCCATTCGGAAGCAAGAAACCGCTGTAGCTCAAAAATTGGAGGCCCTGGACTATTTTCAACATTTTAAAAGTTCGCGGGGTAAATGTACAATAAACAATTAGTTTTTTTACACTAATTATTCGTTTTAGACGTACATAATCGATCTTCAATGTATGAGAAAACTCATTCCAATAGCCGGCGACTTTTAAAACTCATAGTAGTCTTCCCTTAAGAGGTACTTGACCTCGTCCGCGTGAAATATCATAGTTTTGCACTTAAAGCAATGTCACAAGCAATTTGACCAAGTTTCATCCTTGAGGCAAAGCTTATCGGTTCGTCAAAGCCTACAATAACTACTGATAAAATCACTCAATGAAAACATTTCAAAAGCTCACAGTCCGTTGCTCTTCCGCACCGACGCGCACGAGATGCACTCTCGGTTCATATTTGTGCAGCGAGTTCAACATAATCTGGCCATTCCCATTCGATTTATTCGTCAATTTAACTTTGGCAAATGATACTGCCTCCTTCATCCAGTGCGCTCCGAAGTTAGGGCTCTCCGGATGAATGTAGATTGGATTAGGCGGTGCTACTTCGGCCTTACCACCCGGTACCCACTCTCCATTTACATATTTCCATCTGATTAATTTTGAAACAAGCAATTTTGCATTATTTTAAAGAAACGAACGTATCTCACTCATCACTACTTCAAATCCTTCTACAACTCTTATCTGATTCAATATAGTAGCAAAGGGAGGAAATTATTAGAGTTGAATGTGAAATCAGGGATAATTGCAGTCAGTTAATTCAAGTTAAAAAATGACAAAACATCGATAGATCTTTTTTATGGCTGATATAGTGAAATATCTCATCAGGAATGTTTCATGATAATTTGCCCTGAAATCATTTAGTTGCGTGATGACACGCACGAAAAAAATTACTAGAAAAACCTGGCGAATTCGCTACACAATTCTATTGGATTTCTATTGAATTTTCTGTTAGTTTTTAGCCGACTCTATTGAAATCTTTGAATTCGATTCATCTGTGCAAGTTATTCTACTGAGATATTTTCTATAGAATTTCCTCGGCTCAACTTTTCAAATTTTTTTAGCCTATTTTTCTTTTTTTTTTTTCATCAAGAAAATTGAACAAGAAAACTTGAAAAATTTGAGCCGAGGAAATTCTATATAAAATATCTCAATAGAATAATTTGTATAGAAAAATCGAATTCTATTGACTTTTTCTATAGACCATTTTATAGACCATTTCAATAGAATCGGCCAAAAATTAATAGAAAGTTTAACAGAAATCCAATAGAATTGCTTAGCGAATTTGATAGGTTTTTCTATTAAATGTTTTCATTAGTGGAGCACCTAAGAAAAAAAAGGTTCAAAGATTTAGAAACAAATTCTGATCCATTCTCGAATGCATTCTACAATTGGAATTTAATCGAAAGATAAATTGACTTGATCCGTGAATTTCTTTCTTAAAACGTACAATGTCTAAACATGACAATGTCTTGGCTCAAGTTTGGGAACGCTTCAAATCAAGTTTTGCATAATGTCTCCATGAAAGTGAGAAGCGCATTTCAATTCAAACCACTACTTTTTCGATTTAAAATCCAGTATCAATGATAATGAAGTTTTTGATCAAGTGTGACTAATGCCAATTGAAAACGAAAAATTCTTGCGTCATGAGATGTCAGAAATCTTGAATCAGGTTCTAATGAAGTCCAGACATTGTTGGTTGCAGATTCAAACCAAAACCTATTTGAATTATGCAATCTTTATAGACGTGAAATGAACTGCATTAATATGCATTCTATACTAATGAAATATGAGTCAAGTATATTTTTTCCGCATAGTTTTGGTAATTCAGAACAAAGCACGATCCGACAATGGTACAGATGTAATACATCGACTTGTCCCTTTTTACCACTTGTCTGTGAGTTGATTATCATAAAAACAAAAAAGGAAAATAAAATCATTCATCAATTACCTGTGAGGATCAATTTGTACAAACTCTAACAGGAGAGTGTACATTGCAGCTGGTTCTAGCCCCCGTGCAACAACCTTAACCACAGGAAACATCCTTCTAAAACATTCACAACACATCACAAATGATTCATCTCCATATCTCCTTCTGTTTCAAGCAATTAAATCATAAAATGGGATGAGTCAACTCAGCTCAAGATTTCGACGGATATTTTGGAATCTAATGGATATAGATCTATTTTCATAGGTACTTTCTGTATGCAGAGAGTCAAAACCGAGAAAAATATATTTAATAAAAATTAGCTATCGCTCTTTAACACCAAGACATTCTTCATAAAATCATTGTAACCGATTTAAAATTGATTTATCTCATTTAAACTTCACTATCTCTTCATATCTTCTGGACTCAACTGACCTTCCATTCTTCGTCACAATCATCTCATTAGTGATGCTCTGAAACCTGGTCCACAATTCGCGATCCTCAAGGGAAAGAGACAGGGGTTGCGCACTCAACTGTCTCCTCTCTCTATCTTCACGTTCTTCCTTCCCATTTCTGTGATCAGCATCACAGCAACCGGTTGATCTTGCAGCATCAAGATCCAACGCCGTCGAGGCATTTGATTGCATGCTTCCTCTTTTCCGTGTCAATGAACAATCTGTGCAATTCCTATTCCGCAGTTTTTTTTCGAAACCACACAAATCACCGTTACCCCTTGATGATGTCTCTTGATGAATTTATCAATTAGAAATCATTTAATCGTCCACTTGACGGTGTAGAGATGACTTTGGCGCGTTGATACTAACACTTGGCTAAACAAAGTAATTACGCGCCTTCAACTGTCTGGTTTATTTCGAATGGTGTCATGTGATTACAGTGAGGATGTAAAAAAAAAGGACGTGTTGTTGAAGATAGATGAGATAGGCGAGGTGAGGATGAACGATTGTAGCACTTGGGCGCGATATTTCACACTAGACTACGAAACAATTCCACTCGACTGGAGGAGAATCAGGAGATGAGGCACCAGTGCGCTAGGCTTGAGAACTTGGACGCCCACTGTTACACCAGTCTTCAGGTGATAATTAGGACCTATTAGGATTAGTTAGGAGATGCAGGTATGGCAGGTCTGCTGTGTCATTGGTTGGTGAGACTTTATGATATTCAGGGGCGCAGAGTCATTGGCTGGTGAAGTGGTTTCCTTCCATCAATGGGCACGCCTTCAACACGAACCACTGGCCAATCTTTGAGTGACGGTGTACATGGTAGACCGGGGTTTTTAATCCGCACAATGTGAATGTTATGTCGGTCAACGAGTCAATGGTACATACGCCCATTGAGGGGTTTGGATTACAAGTTCATCGTGACAATTTTAAGATTTCTGGAGAGGATTGGTTCGCATGGAATTTTGTGTCCATATTTCGATCAAGTTCATTGTGAAGATAGTTTCGGACATTTCTTGTCGCTTTTATCCAGTTGTTGAGTGTTCGGTTGTCTCAGTGAAAATGAGTCCGAAATTAATGCGAGACAGTTTGTCAATATTTTTGGATGGGAGCGATTTTGGTAGGTTCATAAAAAAAATCTACTTGATAGAACATTTTATGAGCCATAAAAATTCAGTCCGAGATCTTTCTCGAATCCTACCAGTTTTAGAGCTATCTGTAAAATGATCTTGTTCGAATTTTTGGAATGTCTTTTCACCACTGCGCTGCAGAGTTTTCATGTCGGGTTGTCATATGTAAGTACTTAATAACACTCTTGGACTTTGTTTTTCTCACTACGACACACTATACTGGGAAGTAAAAATTTTTGAAAAATACAAAGAAATGAAAAAGAAAGCCAAGTCAGCAATCTCGAATGAACGAACATAGTGCACAATCAGATTTCTATGAGTAAAATAGTTTCAAATCGAATAAGGATTTTAAAAAATTCTTCATGTAATAAAAAATTACTAGAAGGAGAACCAAAGCAGGCATCAATCTAATCCGCCATCTTTTGATCCGTGCCAAGGACGTTGGTCTCCTTCTAGTAATTTTTTATTTCATGAAGAACTTTTTAAAATCCTTATTCGATCTGAAACTATTTTTCTCATAGAAATCTGATTGTGCACTATGTTCGTTCATTCGACATTGCTGACTTGGTTTTCTTTTTCATTTCTTTGTATTTTTCAAAAATTTCTACTTCCCAGTAAGAATCAACCCAAACTTTTTCTTGGCGCTGTTCTTTTACAAAAACATTTGTTTTTGTTTTTTTAGGGTAGTACATTACATACCCGAGCCTTGGAAAACAGATCGCCGTCCCCCATGTGCAAGATTGCCTTCCGAGCCGAAGGCGAGGATGGCAAGCACGTGGGGGGGAGGGGGTGATTTGTTTTCCATGGCGAGGTGTGTAAATTAATTTTCAGGTCCCGTGACACGAAAATAACTTTTCTGACACATGCGTTTGCATTCCTCGACTTCGCCTCGGTCTGCAAATTTCACACTCCTCAGAAAAGTATTTTTCGGCCTGATGACGAAAATTGCTATTTTTCGAAATCATAATAGGTCGATATAACGTAAAAAATCCGAATTATTACGCGCATTACACAGGTATATAATGATTACATTGTTGAACATATAATCAAAAAGCGCTAAAACTTCGAAACATCTATGGAAATACTCAATGAGGAAAAAAAATACGAACTGGTTGGAAGAGTGGATCATTCGCAAAATTACAAATATATCTTGAAAAAATCTTCCTAGGGATAAATGTCTCGTTACTTTTCGTAGATCATTCCATGGGCAATTTGGTCAATTATTGATGCGGCTCTGTGTCTTTAACATTTCTATTTTAGTGGAAATTTTAAGTCTTTCAAATGCCAATAAAATCGTATGAGAAGTCTCAACTAAATTAAAATTTTGAAGATACAAAACAGGACCGATAACTAATGAAATCACTTCTTGTCTAAACTCACTTACAAGTCATTTTTCTTTTCTTTGTCTGAAGAAAAAACGTGGAAAATTTGAGTCGAGGAAATTGTATAGACAATATCTCAATAGAATAAGTTGTATAGAAAAATCGAATTTTGTTGACATTTTTTGTAGACTATTCTCTATTGAATATTTCAATAGAATCGGCCAAAAACTAGTAGAAAGTTCAATAGAAATCGAATAGAATTGTCTAGCGAATTCGCTAGGTTTTTCTATTAAAATTTTTCATGCGTGTACTGCCAGTTTTCTGAATAATTCCCGTCAAAACTACCTCAAAACTCGGTAACATTTGTAGAAATCCTCAAGCAATCCAAATAAAATGCCGTCGGAAATAAGAAAAACCAACACGTCAAAATTAAAAAAAAAATATTTAACCGTGTCGTCTGTTTGCGATCGTTCTGAATTTCGACTCTATATTTGCTCAAGAAGTTTCACAAAAGTTTCGAAATATAGTCAGTGCATTTTAAATACAAACTCCAAATTTAGTTACGGTTATGGTTGAAAAATTAAGGCAGTTGAGAGTGGAGACAAAAAAGTGGAAACAAAAAAAAGTGTTTGAATTTTTTTCGGAATGAATTTGTACAACAAAGAGAATCCGTCGGGGGCAATAGGGGTGCAATAAAAATTCTTGGGTTAATCAATGTTTGATGTTACGACGGAGTAGGAATTTTACAACCACCTGACCGACGCCTGGCCGTCTACTCTGGGCTCCTGGATAATGTCCGAATATGATGGGTGGTCAGCTTCCAGCGGCTTACTCATTTCTATTATATTTGAGGGATGCCGACAAGTCGGATATATCGTAAACATTAAACAAATGGTCTCAGATACCTCTGCAGTCATCAGTGAGTTAAAATGAAAGAAAAGTATTCAGTTTTGGTGGTTGAAGGAAAAAATTGATTCATGAGACAAGAAACATCTTACATTGAAATAATTGATGCATAGGTAGAGGAAAAATGAATAAAAACAAATTGAATTGTCTCAATTATATAGACGAACAATTGTAGGAAGGGAGAACATTTTTGCTCGATTCGATAAAATCTATTCCTGTGACATTTATACTCCAAATATGAATTTAATTTTTTTTCACTGACCGAGAAAAATGAATGCTTCTTCTATGAATCAGAAGAAAACATTGGGTGAATTACAAAAAGGTAGCAATCATTTTTCATTTAATTCATCTGAATAAACGATTCAGTTTTTGATGAATTTACCAATTTGGTTCAATGGAATCGTGAATTTTGGACAAAAAAAATTGCTTTTCTCCAAGGGATATGCTGATCCGGTCGGATATTTATCGATTCCACTAATTTTTCTCCCTTTCCATATAACGAAAATTGAAATTCTCAATCATCATCCACATTAATAAATTGATCATCTTCCTCATCTTCCATTTCTTTGCGCTCGTCGAACTCACTAACTCGACTTTTCCCCTGGACTTCTGGAGTTTCAGGCGGACACTTAGGACTCTCAGTTCTCAAACTGCTACTGTCTTCAGATAATTTTTGTTCCTTGAAATGCACTCGTTCGGGAGCATTAAAACGGGGATAATTGTCATGAAAGAAAAACTCGGGTCTCTCCATTATGGGGACTTGATCTTGGGGCATCATAGAAGTAGGAAACATCCAATCGCGATTCATGCGAGAGGGTAACTCCATGTAGGTGATACATTTCTGTAAATTTTCAAGATGATTACAGCCTCAAAATGGTAGAGCTCGCGTATTATTCCGAAAATCTTTTTGAAAAAACGGTAGGAAAATGTAGGATAGGAATCTTTTTTGCGGTATTCTCATATCCTACAAAACTATCTTCACAAATTTTCCGAAACCTCTTCATTCGTAATTTTCTTGACAAACTAATCATGCATTGAGAGAAAACATGTTCTCAAATAAATTTTGTTTCAACCACTACAATCGGAAGAGGAAAATGACAACGAATAAAACTTATCGTGCTGCATATTAAGGTATAGGTATCCCAAGACAATACCACCCAACATTTAGTGCGTATGGATTTCTGGAAGAAATTTTAAATGACTTAATCCTCGATCACTCGGTCAATGAGCGCGGCGCACGTCCGTTTTTTGTATATTTTAGCATGTGTCTCGATTCCTAAAAATTATGGAAAATTAGAGTTCCTAGTTCAATCCTTTTATTAAGCGTTGGGGTTGTCCGTTTTTTTCTCGAGAAATTAGTTTAGGCTAAAATAAAGAAATTTCGAACGGACAGAACGGCATCGCCGCGCCGCCCGATGGGAGTGTGTTCGTGTCGACCCCTCGAGCGACGGTGTTGCTACATTCACTGCCCCACTCGAAATGCTTCTATAGCGGGAAGCGCCAAGTTGGCAACAGCGTGTGCTGGGTTTAATCCAGCAGCGCTGTGCTAACCGTGCGACGGATGAAGGCTGGCGGCTAAGCGCGAGTGATCAAGGGCTAATTTATTGCATTCTCATAAATTGTTGCATCCTCTTACATTGTTGATGAACGCAACAATAACTATTTGAATAGAATAAGAAATTATTTGTTAATTAATTGTTTAAATCAAATAAGAAATAATTTCAGAAAATTTTTTTAGAGTTGAATATCGCAAAAACTATATACTATAAAATTTTACACAAAATTCACCGTATTCGGAATTCATCATTCTATCAGGGACTCGTTTTTCAGGAACATCGTAAGAACCGTTTTCTCATAAGATAGAACAATCGAGTTGGAGGAACCCATAACCTCCATTTGACCTATGCCTTGCGTTCTAGAAGCCCTCTTTTAATTTATTATTTATTATCAACTACATAGTATAACTAGTTAGAATTATTTTCAATAGCTGTGGAATATTGTAAATATTACCTATGAAGAACATGGGGACAATTATAAGAAAAGCCTGTTTTCGAGGAATATACCTTAAAATAGTCTCCTGAAGTAAAACATTTCCATTGTAAAAATAAATTAAGTGCTTCCAAAAAGTTATTATTTTTTGTAAAAATAAGAAATCCTATTTTTAGCACAACATATTCGCTATTCTATACTACCATATGTATTTTGTTCTCGAAAAGTGTTCGTTTTTTGCGAAATAAGGAGGAATAGTTTTTCGATTCGGCCACCCAATACTCAAAAATAAGGAATGAATTCTTGAACAGAACAATAATAATAATAATGCTAGTGATCTTGTGATTTAGGAACAAAACATTTTTTGATTAACTTCACATTTTGAGAGATTTTATCATCCCGATAAGACACCAACTCGCGTAAATGATCCGCCTCTTGAGTCCAATATTTCGTTGTTAAATGCAGAACGATTGTTCAAATTTAAAACTTTCATGTGTTCAAATGAAACCATTTTAGTGGGAACATGTTGTTTTCTCTCAGTATATTATTAATTCTGCCATGTACTTCCCTTAACTATTAATTAACGAAATTGTCAAAATAATCCTATCAAAATTACCGAAGGATTTGTCATATTAGCCATTGGAAATCCAATGATAGGTCCAATCCAGTAGCAATCGTTAGACACAGCAATCTCTTCAGTCGACGGCTTTTTATGAAGGTAAGGGATCATGGATGGGAAGAAATAACCTTCAGGTATTAGCTGAGGAAAAAAATGAAACCATTATTCTTCATTGATATTATATAAACGTTTATTCTGTCTTCTTAATATTCGTCACAGTTCCTCTAAATTTGGGACGAAATGAAAACATCTGATAAACTGCCTCCGGCAGTTATCTTTGGCTAAAATAGGATTCCCTTCGACTTCCCACACGTTCACAATTGCCAATCTCATCGTCAAATGCAATGATTAATCGATAATCATATTAATTGGAAGCAATGATTTTTTAATATTTCATTACATTCATGCAAAATTTTGAAGACATTAGTTTCACTTCATGGCACCAAAGTTGTGATTCAAGTTCATGCACTGAATTCATCTGTGAAAATCGACTATACTCATTAATTACATCCTAGATAAAATTTTGAATAAATTTTGATTTTGAGTTTCGCAAAAATTTTAAATTTCATTATCATCTATGGAAGATCATTGATAATCTTGCGATTCGTCATTACTTTCGTTTTGTCTACGCTGAGTCTAAGATTACCAAAATGGGGAATTGAGAAATACTAAATTCCAAAAAAAGAGAAATTACAGCACCGACTTGCAATATTTCTAAATGTGTAATTCACATTTTTTTATATTTATGGGACACATTGGGTGATCATCAGATTTTACCTCATTTAATCGATAGTCTAAAAAAAAGACTTTTCTCGTGGAATTTCATGATTTTTCTTTCCTTTCTATTCACAATCTTCATAATTCGTTAATGTTCACTTCAATATCCACACTTTACACGGGGCTACGTTCTGAGTCTACGTAAGTTTGGGGCAATTGCTGCTATTATCTCAAAACATCACGTTTTGCATTGTACTTTGGGCTCTCGAGTTATGAGTCTGATGATATGGGAAGATTGATTTTTTATCTTAAACAATAATTATTTGGGATCATTCAAAACACTGTCGTTATTTGGTTATCTTTGGTACTGATCTTCGAATGCTTTACATGCAGAATAACCATTTTTACAAGTAAAAACGAATTGACTTAACTATTTTTTCTCTTCAATTTGAGTTGTCAATACTGAGCTTTCATCAAATTTCTCTTCAGTTTCGTATTGAAGTTATGAAACACAATAAACCATTTTATTTCGTTTGATCAACATTCGAATCATTACAATAATTTAATCATCTTGGAAGGGAAAATCAAGAGATCTTTCGTGAAGATTATTTTCCCCACCCAAATTTTGTTCATTTTGCAAAATACTGCCTTGTGCAGGTGCCCTAAGCCGAGTTTCAAATAGTATATTGTGCACCAAAGGAGGAAAACAGAACATTCCAACCTAAGTGTGTATTGTCGCCCGAGGTGAAGCCGAGGGGAGTAAACACGCGGGTTTTGAAGTCCTGTTATGTTTTCCTTCCTAGATGTACGTACTATCTTTCGTCATAACTGCATGCTATAGCTCGATTTTTCATTGTAAATGCAGAGAGGAGCTTGGATCATGTCGCTCCAAAGATCGTCGCAAACAACAGAAATCCGCGGCATGAAATAAGCCACTTTCCTCAAATTATTTGGGGAGTAAATCGAACTTTCCGTGCAGATATGACGAAAAAATAAACGTATTTCCAGATGAATCGAGAATTATCTTCCTGCTTCCCTGGATAGGAATTTGTCAAATATTTCAGAAACATTTTCTAACTGCAAAATATAACACATGCATAATTCTAGAGCGCTCATGATATCACATATGAAAAAATTTAATTGAAAAACTCTGTGAATCCGCTAGACAATTCTATTGGATTTCTATTGAACTTTCTATGAGTTTTGGCCGATTCCATTGAACTACTCAATAGAGAAAATATTCGATAGAAAAAGTCAATAGAATTCGATTTTTTTATACAACTTATTCTACTGAGATATTTTCTGTATAATTTTCTCGGCTTTAATTTTCCAAGTTTTTTAGTTCAATTGTCTTGATGAAAAGAAAAGAAAAACTAGAATGAAAAAAACGTAGAAAATTTGAGCCGAGGTAAATCTATAGAAAATATCTCAATGGAATCAGTTGTATAGAAAAATCGAATTATATTGACTTTTTCTATCGAATATTATCTGTTAAACATTTTAATAGAATCGGACAAAAACGAATAGAAAGTTCAATGGAAATGCAATAGAACTGACTAGCGAATTCACTTGGTTTTTCTATGAAATTTTTTCGTGCGTGATTATTACTAAAAATATTTCAGCTCCTCTTGAGATTTTCTCCAAAAATCATTTAATTCTGGAACAATTGTGTAATGACCAAAAATTTTCAATTCAACTTCTTATGTTTCACAGCTTCTATACACGCCAATTCTTTACACCCGCCAAAATGATATTTGAATCAAGCTTTGCCGGGGCTTGTTTCAAACTTTTTTATACTTGAAATCATTCCGAGCATTTTACAATTGAGACCTAATGAAAGTGTTGAATTGACATAGATCAAGAATAATTCGTCGAAGTAGAAAACATTTAATCCAACGTTTCGATTCGAAATGTTTTGATTTAAGCCTGCTTTCTAGAAATAGTCAGCTTTCAATTTGAGATGATATATTTCAGGGCAAGTGTCATGGGGTGCTTTACTCACGTGGGGTTCCGAGCCGAAGGCTAGAACTGGCCAACCACGTGAGTAAAAAAACCCATGGCACTAGTCGTGAACGATATTTTGTTCCGTAGTGATTCTCACTTTTACGAGTTTGGGGAAGGGCCAATTCGCGATCGCAACGTAGATGTGGGAGCCATCAAGTGGTCTCTCCACTAACTACTCTTGACGGGCGACCAATGAGATCACTGGATTCTCTTTGATCTCATTTGTTGAGCTCCATCATTGGTTCCCTCCGAGGGATCGTATTGGATCACTTGGTGGCGCCCACATCTACGTTGCGATCGCGAATGCCAACCCCCGGACGAGGAAAAGTGACGATCAGTACGGAAAATATTCTTGAAAGAGGTATTACCGTGCGAATCTCATTATGCCGTTTAAAAGAATCCCAAGTTCCCTACAAATCTCGGAAACCTCGGATAAAGTTTCACAGATCCTTATTCAAAGATTGAAAAATGCTTTGAGGGCGCTTTTTCTTCACCAGGACATTGTTAAAGATAAATTTGAATCAGGGCTTATGCAAAGTCTCCTATCAAGATTTTTTCGAAAGAAAGTCAAAACTGCAATCAAGCTTGTCTGCTGTTTATTTTGGGGGAATGAAAATTAAAATTTTTGAATGAATTAAATAATTTGTGATTGAAATACGTGCCCTCGTGTTAGTCGCTGATTTTTTAATCTATTATGTAACATGACAGACGGAAATGAAAGGTTTGGTCCCGTAATAGGTAAAGGATGGGTTTTTTTAACGTAATTACTTCCATTCATTAGTTTTCGTTCTTTGTCTCGGAAACCAACTTGACATGAATGATATTTTCATACATCCAATGTGTGTGAATGTCATAACCCTCACTCCCCCTCTATCAGCACTATGCATATAACATTAATGGTTTTGTTCAACCTATTTTTTTCACCTGTCAGCTAAATAATTTTGTATAGATATATTTATCATATATATAATTTTAAAGTATACTTATATCTGTAATTGTATCACATATTTAATTCTTTTGATAATAAATATTAATAACTTATTAACAATAATAAATTGTTAACATATACATATATGTTGAATGCTCCATTTTGTTTATTTTTTTATTTTTGTTTAACTTTTTGATTATCTTATTAAACGAGACATCGTTTTCATTTGAATACTCCTTTTCTTCCGGAATTTCTTGTGTCAAGTTGATCATCGTTGATTAAAATTTTATAATAAATTTAATTATTCTCGTTGGTCTGGAATACACCCAATCACATTGGATATGATAATTCGAGATATACTTGGCGTTTAATAGAGTGAAAGCATTTTTTCACAATTTGGTAGTGAAGTAGTAACATTGAGATGAGTCCAAATATTTCATACAAAGTGTCTTGCGAATATTTCTGAAAGTAGTGGGTTAAAGAGTTCCATCGGTAAAAAAAAGACACTGGTTTAAAATGTTGATATCGTTAATTGCAGTTGCTAGATTATGTCTGATTTTTCAAAGAATTTTTCTAGATTCCATTTCCAAGTCATTACCAATCAAAGTCATTTTTTATATGAGCAAATCCACGCCAAACCCGCAGGCCAAAAAAGTCGATACTGGAGATTTTCAGCTCAATTTTTTTTCTCATAATATGACTATTAGACAGCATCTTGGAAAAAATTGAAAAATATTGATAATACAGGAGGTTATGATAGTTTGAAAATTTCGAGTTTTTTTCAGTGTTCTTTGTTTCAAATTGGCCCCAATATTTCAGCGGGTTTCAGGCGTTCAAATTGCCTTTTGGCTTATTCAAAGAACATGAAAAACCCTTCAAAATAAGACGTTTTACATAGCATTATCTTTAGTTTGACCGTGTTTATACCAACGTTTTTTTTTAATCGGTAATTACTCAAAAACTCCATTTTTTTTCAATCTGAAATTTTCACCAAAAGTGGTCAATAAAATGCCAAGAATTTTGGTGACAATTAGAGATTGTCTTTCGCCGTTATCAATTTCGGCGGTTATTAAGTTATTCAGTGAGACCAGTATTGAAAATGACCGAAAATCGCGATTATTCATGTAATTATCCCCCAAATAAGTGAATATTCCGTTAAATATTAGCAAATGGTGGAGGTTAGACTTTATATTATATCGTCGATTAGTCATTCATTTCTCTTTTATAATTGGAAAAATAATAATTTTTCACTCAAAAAAAAAATGAAGATGAATATTTTTTCCAATAATTCCGTCCACTAGCCATCTTTTCAGAAACAAATTGAGATAAAAATCCCTAGCATCGACTTTTTGAGCCTGCTGAATTGCCGTGGATCAGGGGAGCGATTTTGCTTGTTTTATGTCGACATAAAATCATAAATTTCAACCAATCCTAGTTGAGTATTCCGATTCCAGGACTGTCATTGGTTGAAATTTACGATTCTATGTCGACATAAAATGAGCAAAATCGCTCCCCTGTTCATACAATTGTCAACATAAATTCGGTCCTACTAGCCTGAACTGAGTATGGCATGTGATTGGCCAGTTAAGAGTATCCCTCTGTCCTCATTGGCCATAAACCCCCACTCAATTAAGGTTAGTAGGACAGAACTTTTGTTGACGATTGTATATGGATAAGGATCCATATACAGCGTTGAGCTGAGTTAGTACTTGAATGGGTGACCGCTTAGGAACACCTCGCTCGCACAAAAATTGGGACGGTAGATACGGTGTAGCGGCCTATTGTCTCCAGCTAGTCAGTGTGACAGATGGATATATTAGGGCACTGCACAATCGGCCGGCTGTGCGACTGGGGTTTTACATGGTTTCCCGTGCAGTCCTAGCTCGAATGGGGCACAGCTAAGAGTAAGACGGCCATGATACCGCAGATAACAATGAGAGGAAAGAAAGGAGGGGAGGCAGGCTAGAGGAAGGGTTTCAAATCGAAAATTACTTCGATAGAACCAATGAAATAGAAAAAATAAAAAAAAACTTGCTCACAGAGAAAATCTTCGGATCGATTTCGCAACATCTTCTTCTTTGACAGATATTTGGAGGATAATCATTAAAGAATTCTCATTAATTTTATACACATTTTTTCTAATATCTTTGGAATTTTTCGACCAAGAGTGAGATATCAGACGAGCTTTAATAAATTTCTTCAATGCATTTTCTTCGGCAGATAACAATACAAAAATTGATAAATTCGCAGTGGATTTGTTTTCTCTTACTACTTCACACCTGAATTTAGTAATTTCATTGCGTTAAAATATTGATTTCTTCGTGTTAAAATATTGATTCCCACTTGACAGAGAAACGCCTTTTGATGAAAGAATTGTTCATTTAGATATCGCTCTATCCAATCTATCTTTAAATATGTTTTCAACTGCTTGCTTCCCAGATGAGGCTCTCAAAATTGGCAGAGTTTAAATTTTGACTCTATTCATGTAAAATTTAGTTTTTATTCAGAATTCTCTATCATCTAGACATAAATATTTGGGACATGGAAATTTTCCTACACTTTCCACGTAAATTGATTTATGATTTTCTTAGTTTCTTTCTTCTTTTTTTGAATCGAGAATAGTTTGAAACAATCGAACGGGCAGACGATACATACTCCCTCTGATTTATTTAATGTAATTTAAATAAAGTTTCAATATCTATCCACTTTTCATTCTTAATTATCGTTAGTTACTTAATATATCCAGTCCATCGAAAGGCACAATTTTGATAACCAATTACAACAAATTCGAAATTTTTTTTCTTTCATACGCGGACGAAAAAAGAACCGTGGTGGCATTTCTCTAATAAATCCTTTTCTTTATCCACATATATGTACTTTATCAACGAAACATATATCTATATGTATTATATATCATCTAGTAATTGGAACTGCTTTTTTCAATTTCTCTTAGATTTCCTTTATACGTGAAAAAAACAATTGGACTATAGGGAGACTGGGGTGAGTCACTGACCTATGAATTCAGAATTTGCATATCAATCACTCATTCTATGCCTACAAAAAGGAAAAAATATCAGAGAAAAATTCGCTGTTATTGTCATAAATCGAGGTGGTGAGATGCTAAAAGCCCATTCGTCGAGTATTTTACAGAAAATAAATCTATCAGGGATGATTCACAAATTGCCTTTTTCATATTTCATTTTTCACTAGTGCGAGCCCTTTTGAAATTTATAAAGTAATTCTGAAACTAATGTGACCCTAATTTTTCCAATTATTTTCCAAATTTCGACTATTTACGAGAGAATCAATGGGTTCATTATTTATGGAAATCTACCCATGAAAGATTATATACAATGGACCGTTTTCTCAATTTATGATTTTCCCTAAATATTATTTGCTTTTTTGAAGGCATAGGATCATTCTACGGCAACTTCAATGGCATGTGACTGCAATAATTCACCGCGGCCTCGCCTCAAGAATATTGAGATTTTTCGATGATTTTTTCCTTTTATATTCAAGAATCATTAAAATAATCCAAGTGACTCCTATCATTTTCTATAAATCGAACTTAATGTTTGCTGCCGAACATACCATTCTCAGTAATTATGAGACATTCAACGTGACTAGATTTTTGACGAAGATGGTCTATGAAATTTTTTATTTTGAAACCACAGATTCCTGAGATGATTACACCATTATCGAATGGGTCTCAATTTAGTACTCTTTTGTGGATGATGAAATTTTCAATAAGAAATGACCCATAATGAGCTCAAATTCATAATCACCAGAATTAGAATAACAGAATCACCAGAATTAATAAAGTTTCTCAAAAAACCTTATTACGGATTTAAAATGCCTAATTACGCTTCTTCTCTCCTAATATCACGAACCATTCGACGTTTCCCTTACATCGAAAACAAATCAAACAAAAAATATTCAGAAATCAAGGAAAAACTTTCAATATTCTCAGACCTAATAATTTGTTTATCCAAATAAATTTAATTAAATTTCCCCTGTAATAGCGCTGACATACGGGCTATGCCACCGAGGTGTAGAGTTTCTGACACCCTCACAGTGGGGTTGAATCCCCAGGCCCAGGCCATTAAAATCACAAGGAGAGTGAAGCAAACCGTTGGGAGCTTGACTGTTGCAGAACGATGAATCAGACGATCTATGATTACTTTGACTTCTATCAACACTCCTACTTACATTTCCATTCTCACTGACCATATTGGCAAAAAATTCAGATCTGGAGAATCTTCCAATTTCCGTGGACCCAAACGCCTGATGAAAACCGGGTAAAGGTTGTTTCGAGACCATATCAGGCTTCTCTGTTTCATCATCAGTGAAATCTTTAGCCTCCTCTGTCTTTGGTTGCTTCTGGGCATCCTCAATCTGTATCTCTGTCTGGTGCATCATCAAATTGTTCACCAGAGGCTCTGGATTTCCAGTTTGCCATCTCGACGTGCCATCAATGCATTTTTCCGCGTCCTGAAGTATAACGAATATCAGTATCAAATGAATATTCATGAACTCGATGAATTTATCGAAATTTCAGAGGGGGGAATTACCCGATAAGTGGATTGAGAATAATTGGGTGGCATTCTTGGGTGGCCCAGATCAATTTTATTGGTGACGTAGGGCAGGGGAAGTTCATCGAGGAAACAGTGTCGTTCCTGCTGGTCTTGGAGCAGTACCATGTGCCTTGGGCTACGGATTACTGGATTCTGCGCAGCTATCGGGGCTGAAAAGAAATCAATCGCCTATATGAATCCCCAAATTCCCGCCCTTGAATTATTCCCAACTAATATTAGTTGGGAAAAAATTGTTATATAAGGATTTTCATATATGAATCAGTAAATTCATTCTAGATGCATTTTTTTCAACTTTTGTGATTTCAAGCTCAATATGTCATCATTACTATTATTAATTGATAATTTGATGAATGGAGATAACCGTGATAAAATCAAACAAGAAAAACAAACGTCAGATTAAACAGTAAAATGGCGGAAGATGAATTCAAAACAAATTGACGAAGTGTCTAGAGAATACTTTTGATATTCAGAGAGGTTTCCATTTTTTTTTTCGTAATTCGTGGATTCCTGTTGCATCTAGAATCAAACTCAATATTAACTTAATGTAATATTGACTTATAGATTCATAATCACAAATGTCTGACTGGCTGAGGGCATAGCAAAAAGGGTTCCATGCCGAAATATCCAGTGCCAAAATATACCAGAAACAATACTTAATTATCGAATTAAGAATTTCACAATACAAGAATTTTCCATACCTTCTTCCGATTTGAAGATATTTGTAATTCATTAAGAGTTGAAAGTAAAATACACTATCATCAATTTGATACCATTCCTCAACTGAATTGTTTTTTTTTGTTTTTTTTATTATAACTGAATTGTAATTCATTTGATGGATACAATCTGACCAAATCGTATGATATTAAGAAATATTTATCAACTCCCCAGCCATGAGAAAGCTAATGATACTTCCTTAATGAGTTGATAATGAAAAATAAACTCTTTGGAGCGCGTGTCTAGAGAGCTCAATTGGAGTTATTGAAGTACAGTACACTGAGGGGAAAAAACATGCTCTTAAAACCCGGATGTATTATCTTTCGAATGTTATCTGGATTTTTTTTTATCTTTCGTAATCCACAATTGTCAATTGAGTGGAACATCATGTAGAAATTCCCAAAAATTATAATAGAAGGATAAAAAAAATAGAAAAAATTCGGAACTTTTTCAAAGAGCATTTTTAATTGAGATTCAGAATGAGTTGAAAAAAGTGGAAATTACAAATATCTGATTCGCTGTGGCAAATTATCTATTAGCTGTCATTTTCCATGGTGGACAACAAAACACTAACTCCTCGTGGGAAGTGAAAGCTAGGTATCTCAATTTTCAAAACAGTGGTATGTAGTCATCTGCCAGTTTTATGTGATAAAAGTGAGATTAAAAAGTTCTCCTTGATTGATTCCTTGTCTTCAATTTAGGACAATTTTTATCCTCCAAATAAAAATGAAAATTCATAAAATAATAATCAGTATTTGTAATTTTGAAATTCACTGAAGGAGTGGTAAAATAAGATGAGCCAACAACTGTTATTGTGAAAATTTTGAACATTTGAATTATTGTAACAGAGTAATACATGAGAATTTTAGATCATCTCCTCTTTTCCTACCATTCACTTACAGATTAAAATAAAAGGATAGATTAGTATAACTCACACATTGGCACTCCGCAAAATTGATTCCATGGTCCCTGTGCATGTGAATTAATGGTGTTGACATTTTGCATAGCATGACGAGTCGATATTTTCGTCATCGGTCCACTGCGCGAGTGGTACGTTGTTGGACCGCTCTAAATACAAACCAAAGAACAATAGAGATTGAAAAGGTAAAATGAAAATGTAAAAATAGGAATTAGTGATGTGTGAAGGCAGAGAGAAACCGTGTCAATGCGATCGATTGTAAACTCACCTGGTAAGGATGCCACTTCTGGCCGTCTGTAAATTCCCCAATGCCACAGTAATCGTTGCTCTCGAGGCCAGTTCCATTGGTCCGTGTGTTACTACCAACTGGGGAAATTCTCGACTGCTGAGTGGATACGTGAAGGGAAAATTCACCCGGATAACATGATGCTGGGGTTGATGATGGAAAGGCTGTTGCACACTCGGCCAGGGACGTCTGTTTCCTCAAAACATCTTTTGCCTTATCAGAGGTGCACTGGTGGGCCTGCATCATCTGAAATCGATAATCTAATATTACATGGATGTAGGCTAAATATTGGATGTCTTCAAATCTTGTTTTTCTCTCGGGGAATTCATTAGAGAAATTGAATGCTGAATCGATAGAGTACGGAGAGAAGTAGTACTATCTTATCATGTATTGGACATGTTTTTTTGTTATAATTACGAATTTACGCCATAATTGTGGGATTTTAAGAGAAAGTCGCAGAAGACTTTTTCTGTAATCGCGCAAGTCTCAAACAAGAAATGCCTTCTAACACGTCGTTCTAATTAAATAATTCCATACTTGACTACATGTGAACAATTGACGTGTCGAATTCTCGATTCACCAAGTTTTATTCAGCCTTTGACTCAAGAACTTCCTCAATCATTTTCTATTACTGCGGAAAAGCGTGTTGTCAAGCAAGTCTTATTTTCAACAACAAAAAATCGCTAAGATGAAAAGTTGATAATTTACATGATAGAAATTGTTTCATTTAAACATACGAAAGATTCAAAAATGAATAATTACTCTGCTTTCAATAATGAGATATTTGACTCATGAAGGCGATCATTCACGCTAAAGGCGATACATTTGCAAAATGAAAATATCTCTTATGAAGTGAAGTCAATCAAGAAATATTTTATTCTTAATATTAATTATAATTATTGGTATCATTAATATTAAATTACAAGACTGGTATCACGTCATCATTATTAGCCTATTTAAGAATTAATTTCTTATCTTCGAGTATTGGATAGCTGAAACGAAACACTACTCATTTTTGTTTCGCATAAAATAAACATGTTTCACGATAGAATTTGTTTTTCTCAGGGCCATGTTTAAAAGTTCAACAAGAAATTTATAATTCTCTTAGGATTTTGTTGGTTCAAACAACACTTGTTTCAGAACATGCATTAGTTCTCTGAGTGTAGATTAGAAAAATAAAAAATCGGAGGGATGGTTGGTCGCTTACTCTCATTGTCCCGACCAATTGGTTTTCCTTCATTCATTGGAAAAACAAGTTGTCACGTACATACATACAGAGATGACCCTAAAAACATAATTTTTTCACGTTTCATAACATTCGAGACCATTTGCAATCAAAATTAAAAAATCGAAAAATCGCTCAAATGCAGTGCAAAAACCGCAAATGCTGAAAGTTGTATCCGGAGAAATGGCCAACTGTTGAGACGATTTTCATCGGAATTCAGTCAGTTTGAATTATATCGCAATACATTTTCTGTACAAATAAAAATAGATTAAGAAAAAGTGACCAACAGTGAAAAATCTTCGAAAAGTTGCAAATTTCAAAAATTGCAAAAATTTATGTTTGAATTATTCCAAAACCGCAGACAATTTTGCTGGAATTGCCGAGGAGCTACTCACACCCCAATTGAGTAACACCATGATTTCAAAATGAAGTCGATTTCGGGTGATTTCAGCGGTGATTTAAGTGAATTCGGCAAAAATGATTTCGGTGATTTCGAGCGTTAATTCGAAATCAGTGATTTCAGAAAGATAAAGTGAATAAATAATAGAGAAATTGGGCAAAACGGGTTGTGTGAAATTATGAAACTCAAAACTGGCAATAATAACTGCCGAATAATAACGAATTGGTTTGATTCCACTCCGTCAATCTTGAGCTAATGACGATGAAAAGCGGTCCATTTTACCATTTTACTATAGCAGTGGATACGGCATTTCATTATCATCGTTGGCAGGCGTGTCAATTTCAAAATCACGAATTACTTACATTGTTCGGACTTCGCCAGTGCGCCACTGATTTCGGTGATTTTATTGATTTCAGACGATTTCACGTAATTTCGGAAATAGTTCCAAAAGTGATTTCAAAGAGCTGAAATCACTTGACTCCCGTGATTTTGGAATGATTTCATGCTAGAGTGGCGCCGTGATTTCGGGAGTGAGTAGCCCCTCGGGAATTTCACTCCAGTATTAGTCATACAAAGCTGCATCAATTATGATAATAAATCAATTCCATCGTTTCTCTCAGAAGAATCATGGAATTTGTACAAAAATGGCATTTTTTAATGTTTTTCACTAGTTTTATTGTTAAATCTAAAGATCCGCTGAGACGATGTTGTTCAAAATATAATCAGTACCAAGTTACACGAAAAACATCGTCTGCGTGAAAAAAAATTTAATCGAATCGATCGTTTAAGAGCAATCATTGACCATAATTTTGGTCACATACGCACACACACACCTCTCCAAAAACGTCATAGAATGATTCTAGGGGTAATGAAACGTGGGGATATGATGATATACGCACATTGGATATTCGGGGTCATTACAATAACTTCCTCCCCTCATAGGGTCGGAAAGTTAAAAATAGTTTTTCGATCTTTCCTAAATTATGGAATAAAAAATTATATGGATTTAGATTTTTTCAATGAAGATGGAACTAACAACGGATAGAAAACTCACTCTGTAGGGAATCAACTGTTTCACATGATCTCCAGGCGTCGCATGACCAATTGGAAACCACGGATTGATCCTCCCAGGATTATACGAAGAACTACCGGGCAATGATGAGCCACTCTGACCCGTTGGTGCTGGTGATGAACACGTCATTGATAGATTAACAAAATTCGTTGAAACTGGTGTAGAATTACTGCCGGTGTTGTTTGTTGAATTTTCGGGGGTTGAAATCGGCGCAGATAAGACCGACTGCCGCGATAATTCGCGGTTCTGCTCGCGCATTGCTTTCCGCAATCGGGCCTCCTTCGGATTGTACACGTAATCTAAACAAACATGCGGAACCCTTACATTAATCATCTGGCCGAGTTAAGGGGAGAGTACTATGAGTTTTAAAGTCGCGGGCGATTGAAGTGAGATTTCTCATACATTGACGATCGATTATATATATCTAAAAACGATTAATTAATGCAAAAAAATGATTGTTTATCGTTCGTTTGCTCCGCACTCACTTAAAATGTTAAAAATAGTCCAGAACTTCCAATTTTTGAGCTACAAAGGATCTTTTTTTTCAAAATTTTTTAAAAAATGTGTGCAGTAATAATTACAAATCAATTATTTAAAATTGAACTCCTACACAGCTATTCCGTTTTGTTTAAAATAAAAATTTGAGTCATTCATGTAAAATAGGCGGAAAAATTATCCTCAAAATATTTGAAATAGATCCTCCATTCTATTAGAAATATTTTTCGGGCTACTTTACATAAATGGTGAACTTTTTTACTGAAAAATATCGATATTAGCTGTGTAGGAATTGAATTTCAAAGAACAAATTCGTAATTGTCACTGCACATATTTTTTGTCAAAAATTCTGCAAAAAAAGAAACCTCTGTAGCTCAAAAATTGGAGGCCTTGGACTATTTTTAACATTTTAAGCGTCTACGGGGTAAACGAATAATAAACTATTAATTTTTTTGCACTAATTATTCATTTTCAGACATATGTAATCGATCTTCAATCTAAGAGAAATCGCATTCCAGGAGCCCGCGACTTTTAAAACTCATAGTAGTCTCCCCTCAACGGAAAATAATCAATTAGTCCCATCAATTAATCACATTCATAGCAAAAGCAGAATATTAAATAATTCAGTACTAGAGTCGTTAAAGCAAATGATTCTGGAATACATTTTAATATTAGTTTTCAATTATGTTAGAAAAAGAAAGGTTGGGACACAATTTTTGTAAAAAAAATCGATGGACTGTAAAATGGGTCTCTCGACATGTTTTCGAAAGTCATGAGAAGCGAATTCGTGTGATAAATTATGTAAATGGGAATTTTCGCATGATGTATCATTGATTGTTCCATCATCTTACTAATTATTGATGGTATGAAAATGTGTCGAAAGTTCCTTTGAGAGCAATTTTTGGGTCTTATGCCTTGTAAAAAATATTTTGTCACTTTTATTGTCCACGCTATTTTGGGTAGGTTTCCCTTCACCGTCTCGATCAGAAATTTCATTGTTAAAATGAAAAAATATATCTAACAACGTTTGAGAGATATCGTCGAACCTGCAAAAAATACTTTGTCCCGGAGGTATATTGATTTTGGCTTTGGACGAGCACTAACTCGTTCATCGTAGGCAAAGTGCCAGACATGTACATCATTCTTGCCCTGAACTGTTGTAACATTTGCCGGACTTCTTATAGCAAGCATAAAATAAACCAGTCAAAAAAATAGAGAAAAGCCCACCCTCTGAAAATATTCAATAGGAAGCATCAGTAAATAAAATCCAAAAGAGAATCAACAGAACTTTACCGAATATTTCAGTGAAGAAAAGCTTTATCAAAATTCATCAGCGGACCTTGATTACAAGAATCAGCAGGAGCTCAAAAAGGATTTCTGACTATTTTTTTCTAGCCCATTTTCCTCTGGTTGATTATCAAATCAGTAGTGAAGAGCTAAAACTGGATCTTTTTTTAGGAGGATGAAAACATTTTTGCGGCAGTCTTGGCTGTCGATTCGAATGAACTCTTATACCTTTTCACCACTGATATTATTTTTGACAATTTCTAACATGATGAAAATTTCAGAAAAAAAAACTTTTCACGGGAAATTCAATATCCCTGAAAGAATGCCCTCTGGCATTTTCTCCTTAATTCCCTCCTTTTAGAGATATTCGCAAATTAATAATCGGAAAAAATCGATCCAATTTCCATGCACTCAAATAGAAAATTCAATAACCTGTCGGATAAGCAGCATGTAGCCTCGCATATCGCGCGTTAACGTCGATCGTATCGGCAATCGGAGCCACACCATATCCAGCATAGCCGTTCATGTTGTCATAACAAAAATGCTGCTGATAGAAATGCCCATGTCCGGGGTAAGGTTGCACATAGTTGCAGCAATCCATCTCTCGCCCCTCTTATCGATTTAATTCGTCAAATTTAATTAAACCAATTCATGAAATGTAGAAAAATTTATTCTCATTATCTCATGAATCTAACATTTGTCATTTATCAATGAATGATAATTCACATTAACCGGAAGTGTCAGTTTTCACCTATTTTTAATCAATGGAAGAAATACGAGCAAATTGGCCGCATGAGTGGCTGCGTTTATATCCAATGTTTTGGTTCATATATCACGGCTGACTGAGTCGGCTGATTCCGCAGTATAGTAATGCAAGACGTGGGAAGGGGTGTTGGAAGGGGCGGGGGGAGGGAAGACATTAGAATTCCTGGTAATTCCACGTTATCTCAACTGGTGTTTATGACAGATCGTGGAATTTAGTAAAACTTTTGGATTGAAATATTCTACAAGCGTATAATCACGCTGATCCTGTGCATCGACGCGTGACCCAACTCCAAGTCACGTCTCGACATGGCATCGATCCTCTTTCTCCACCTCCTTCCACCACCTCCTTTGCGACTGGATGCTGCGGGCGACGAGGTCAACATACGTCCAATGGATTTTTCATCCACGTTAACCCTGTTAATATAACCAGGGTAACGTAATTTACGTGAATTTATCATTTGATGACACTATTCCACTGATTTATCATCACTAATCCCTCTGTTTTGTTGATACTTGAGAACCATAAACACTGGCACACGTGGAGTCGAGTTTACCCCCTCCCTCCAAAATCAAGTCTTCATTTATCACTAACTTTGCCTCCTTTTAGACGATAATGTCAAAGTAAAATTAATTCAATTTTTCTAGTTTCATTTGATTACGCAGGATTAACTTAGCTTTCTTTTTTCTCCCCCCAGGTCGCCTCGCTATCGATCTATCGATAATAACACGAGGTCAATAACACCCGACGAATCCTCGAAACTTTGGTAAGTTCAAAAAAATCAACTGGCACCTCATCGTCGTGCCTCGACAACTCAGACGGCGACGATGAGGCGAGGGTTAAGCTCAAGCAAGTAGCTACTTTTCCTGGCATTTCGCTGGCTTCTGACCCCCAACGTTCAACTGTATACCAAAAGCCCGCGCACGAGAATCATGAGTTGAGTATGTGTTTTCTGTCTTTGTCGCCAACTCGATATGCAGTTATGTACGCGGTATACAGAGAACGAGGGACTGGTCGGTCGCTCTGTCGGTGGAATACTCACAGCGTGACAACGATTACCGCTCCAAGCCGCGCGCTCCGATATAGTTGGGGAGTCTATGCGCTCAGGCATCGACGCGAGAGAACATTGAGAGCACAACAGACGTGCGAACATTTCTTCTATGTGTACCATCCCTCTTCCCACGTATTCACCCCTTTCTTTGCTCCTCTAAATCCTCCCTTGGGCTTTCTCCTGCTTTCGCTAGTTTTCTCCTCATTTTTTCTCTCACAAAATCTTAATAAATCATTCCAGTGGTTTTTCCACCATTGCTCACGCATAACATCATCGCATGAGGTTAATCACGACGGTGCGGAAGAGAGGGAATGGACTAAGATAGTGCAAAAGGGAAATGTGTTAACGCGCTCGCGCGCTTTATCGTCCGCGCGCGTCGGCCATCGAGCGCCCTGTTCTGTTCTGTTGTCGGCATGACCGTAGTCGCGTCGCAATCAATACCCTGGTCCCCCGACTCTCCGACCACTCGCCCCTGGCAACCTCCAGTTGAGAATATTTGCCTCATCCCTTCTCCTCCTCTCGACTTTATATCAGGGAGAGCTGAGGGCTGCTCGTTCTTTCTCTCTTTTGACCCCTTGCGATATCGCAGCTGTACGACGATCTGTCTCTATACCACGCGGCTCTCACCTACGGAATTTTTTTTTCGTCGATCTCGATGTGCATACGATGGGCTCAATCGGCACTGTGACGCGCATCCCACCCTCACGCCGTTCGATCTCGAGCTATTCTTGTACGGAGGACTCGTTAGGTGAAAAACATTGCACGCATTTCCGGATGGAATTTTTTTTCAGGTGAGGGAGATTGATGGAGAGACATTAATTCGGCAGATTATTTCCCGGAGAATTTGTAGAGTGATAACTGAGGGGCTACTCACTCCCGAAATCACGGGGCCACTCTGGCATGAAATCATTCCGAAATCACGTGAAATCGTCTGAAATCAATGAAATCACCGAAATCAGTAGCGTGAAACTGGCGTAGTATGAATCGTGCAGGAATTCGTGATTTTGAAATTGACACACCTGCCAACGATGATAATAAAATACCGTACTCACTGCCATAGTAAAATGGTAAAATGAACCGCTTTTCATCGTCATTAGCTCAAGATTGACGGAGTAGAATCAAATGAATGCATTATTATTTGCCAGTTTTGATTTTCATAATTTGACATAACCCGCTTTGCTCCATCTCTATTATTTATTCACTTTATGTTTCTGAAATCCCTGATTTGGAATGAATGAAATCATTCGAAATCATGAAATGAGCTCCCGCGCCGCTCGAAATCACCGAAATCATGGCATCACTCAGTTATGGAGTGAGTAGCCCCTCGGAACGGACTGCATTTTGAGCAGACAAATCTTTATTTTTTTTCTAGCCTCAGAGAGTATCGGAGTAATTTGAGAATTAGACAGTCGTGTTCAATATTTATGAGTTGATTGTTATGGGTATAATATCTTTGGAATAAAGGGGTTTAGCAAAATTGATGAAAAACGATTTTTGTAGTTGACAAAATTTTCTATAAATGTGAATATCAAATGGCCATGACATTGGAAAATATCATGACTAGATTGGCGATTGGTTAATCCGATCGATCCTTCGGTACGAAGCTCTAAAAGGAAGGGATGCTCGATGGAATGTTTTCAAAAGATTTCGGTTCGATGCGCCCGTGACAACGTAAACATGCCGGGCTAGAAGACAACAGTCCTCCCACACTCCCCGTCAACTCGTTCACCTTGATCAACGAACCGTGAGTGGTTTTGTTTTATTAATTTTTAAAATATATCGTTGACAAATTGATGCAGCAGACCCTGATGCTTCAGTTGTAAACTCGTGTGAAAATACATGTTTCCATGGCGAAAGTAGAGGATTTTCGGTTAAAAAAAAAGTAGGACATGGAGAAGGATTGAACGATGGGGCGTGATATTCACTGAGGTTTTTTTGGAGTGTTCGCCTGGTTGAAGGACTATTGATTTTCCCTTTTTTCCCGCGCAGTGATAACGCATTTGGAAAGCGTCAGGCCAGATATGCACTGTTGCGGTTCAGTGGGAAGAGTGACGAAATGGAGCATTTTAAGTCTTAAATATCGTGACAACTAATGGAAATAATGAAGTTTAGAAGAATTAAACATAAAATTGCAGTTCAGTATATTATGCTGAATGGTTCAAGAATACTGCTGCGGAGTTATATTACTTTGCTCCGAAAATATTAATTCGATGATATATCGAGTTTCTGTTTGCCAATATTGACAAAATTTTTTGGCACGACTTTAGGCACATCACAATTCGTTTTGTCCACAACAAAATTTTTCAAATAACAATTTTTACTTCAGTAATTGATTTTAAAAATTTCACACAATATTTTCCAATTGAAAACAATTATATAACACGGAAAAAATAATATTTTACAAAGGTTCACGTTTTTCTCGGCTTTTTTTGTGGAAAACCCCATTTTTCCATGAGAGCCTATCTTAAATTCCAAAATTACCGTTAAATTATTTCGTTTTAAATAGACATTTGAAATTTCATAGACGAATTCGAGTTGTAAAAATTTCAAAAGCTGATTTTTAATGTCGCTATAATGTCTTTTCTGGGCTCGCAAATTCGCAGATTCATTGTAGTGACAAAGTACAATGAGTTGCAGTTTTTACGCTAACTGCTGCATTTAGAAAAAAATCAAAAGATACCCGTGGTTCCAAATTTTTTCAGCTACAAAAAAGGTCTCTTGATATTTTCAACTGCAACTTCAAATTTTCCAGATATTGGCATAATTAGTATAACTGGTGACTTAAAAAGAGTAGAGTAAAGGAAAGCTATTTAGGTAACTGCCAGAAGAAAAAAGTTCTATGGCATTCTCTTCTAGACTCCTTGTTATCAATATTTTAATGATTAACAGAATTATTCTATACTAGAGGGCTTCGCCTCC